TGGAAAAGAAAAAGGCACTGATTTCCATACCTGGTGGACATGCCAGGAGGTGAAAAAATATTGGAATACAATTAGACAATGGCTAGAAGAAATCACAAATCAGAAAATTGAATTTAATCCAGAAACTTTTTTATCAGGTATAATAACACAAAAATGCAATAAAACAGATAGGTATATCATGTTACACGTATTAACAGCTGCAAGGATTTCATACACACAACTCTGGAAAGAAAAAGGGGTTCCACCAGAAGGCATGGTTATAAAAATAATAATAATAGATTGTATAGAGATGGACAGGCTAATGATGAAAATAAAAGATAAGAGAAGATTCAATTTACTATTGGGCCTGGGATGCCTGGGATGAGTGGTTTAGAAATAAAAATAAAATAAAATGGCAATTAGGAAAAGAATGAGGGAATATGTAAATATGTAAATATACAGGGGTGGGTTTCTACCGGTTCTGTCCACCTCTGTAGAACCGGTTGCTCCGAAGAGCAGCAGACATAGAACCGGTTCTATGTCTGCTGTTGTTTTGGCCGACTCGCCACCTAGGCTCTTCCCTGACCTTTATTTCCTGCTTTTTCAACTGCAGCTGCTTTGCGCGACACAGCTGCAGTTGAAAAAACAGGAAAAAAGGGCTTTTCCAACCGCTGCACACTTGCACGCAGCGCTGCTCAGCTGTCCGGGCAGCTCAGCAGGTCGTAAATTGCACTCACGCGACTTGCGCATGCGCGCGTGACGCTAATAGATAGAACCGATAGTTATACCAGTCGGATCCCATCCCTGTAAATATACCATAGAGAAGATTGATGTGTAAGGATAAAAGATTTTGATTTATAGCAAGAGTAAGATGTAATGGTAAAGGAATAAGTAAATACATATACTGAAAAATGTAAGGAGATACAAAAGATGTCTTGATGTTGATAACAATGTATAAAGTTTTATTTTATGTTTTTTTTTAAATTTGAAAACTTAAAATTTATTTTAAAAAAAGAAAAGAAGAAGACATGATAGTAATGTTTCAATATTTGAGAGGCTCCTAAAAAGTTGAGGGAGTCAAATTATTTTCAAAAGCACCAAAAAGCAAAGCAAGAAACAATGGATGAAAACTAATCAAGGAGAGAAGCTACCTAGAACTAAGAATAAAATTCCAAATGGTTATAGCCAGCAATCAATGGAATAGCTTGGCTTCAACAGTTGTGGGTTCTCCATCACTGGAGACTTTCAAAAAGAGACTGGACAACCATTTGGACAACTAGGAGGTTGGACTAGGACCTCCAAGGTCCCTTCCAATTATATTAGACTATGTTCTATGAAACATTTCAAACCAAAAAGAAAAAAGAAAAGAAGTCCAGTTGCCATGAACCAACTTTCAGACAACTCTATTTGGATGACTGAGAATTTTCAACATAGAAATGGTGATTGTGGAACTCTAAATGCTTCCTACTTTCCCTTTCTTAGACCACTGCCTGGATGCTGCTATTGATACCCTAGACAGCATGCTGCTTTGGGAATCTTGGAAGGAACATAGATATTGGTGTTTCATTTTTAGAATGCTTTTTATTTTCTTTTGTCCATTTGCCATTGAAGGAATGGAGGTTTCCCCTTTTATTTTTCCATACAGCATGAGTGAAAGAATGGAAGAAGGAAAGCAAGAAAAACAATAAGGCTTCAATTTAAAGAAAAAGGATTTGACATTTAGTAATTTTGATACCTCAGAACTTTCTTCCTACAAATGGTGGAAGCACTTGATAAGACAAAGAGAAGATCTGGACTGTTTTCTGAGAAGAATGTAGTATACTCAACAGGGCCTCAAAATGCATCTAAGGACGTGATCATGATTCTATGCCTCTGACTCATGTAAAAGGATTAAATAGAGTTATGAATTTCTTTTCTGGTTCATTTCAGAAACAAACAAATAAATGAGGTTCTGCTTATATAACTGTTACACTAAATGGAATTTGGGAGAAATGCTATGCCTTGTTCAGATGCATTAGGAACAATTTCATTAGGCTGATCTTTATCAAGTGACAGGGCTAATTGTACCTCTTGAATGTCTAACTGGGGATTTTTTCACCCAAAGTTAACCTGAAAGAGCAATGCAAAGTGGGTGCAGGGACTTTGACTAATAACTCCCCAGTAGCATATGAGATTGAACAAAGTTTCAGCTAATATGGCCAGCATATAAGATCTTGTTCTTATCTATTAATTTCATGGAATGTTTGAAGCCTAAGTGGAAATTGGAATGATAATCCTACCTTAAATTGAAGGGATTTTAAAAATATATTATGGAATAACCTTGAATTCTCAAATGTAATGACAGGGTTCGGAAGGTATGTGGAACAGCAATTTACAGCTTTATTGCTCTACTGAAGAAGAATGATCTAAATTCTTTGTATTTGATGGAGTTGTATGTAATTCTAGCAACTAGTTGCCCTTAGCATGAACAGATAAGATTAAAATACCAAAAAGAATACTTCAGGACACTTTAGCATCTTCCACCAGGACAAAGAAATGTTTCAACATAAATTCTATTTCTATATATGATATCTTAAAACCTTGCTAAATATCCTGAAAAATATCCTTAAATACAGTATATAATGTTATCTATTCAATGGTGAGAAAAGTAAGGTCCTGTAGGCAGGAAAAACCAAATAGGTATAGAAGAGGAGGTACTTGGCTCAACAATAGTAGAAGGGATCTAGGCATCCTGGTGGATCATTGCTAAAGTATGAGTCAACAACGTTCTGCAGCTGCCCCCAAAAGCTTAGGTTGCATCAACAGAGGGATAGGTTCATGATCACAGGAAGTTATAGTACTGCCTTATACTGTACTGGTGAGACCACACTTGGAATACCGCATCCAGTTCTGGTCACCATGATGCAAAAAAAAAAAAAAAAAAAATGATCCTGAGGCCCAAGAAAGACTTCAGAGAAGAGCAACAAAAATGATAAGGTTTCTGGAGGCTAAAGCATATGATGAACAGTTGAGGGGGCTAAGTATATCTAGCCTATCAAAGAGAAGTATTAGTAGTTCTCTTCCAATACTTGAAGGGCTGTCACAGAAAAGAGGTGATTGACATATTCTCTAGGACATCAGAAGGCAGGACAAAAAACAATAGGTGGAATCTTGTCAGACTCAACCTGGAAGTAAGGAGGAATTTCCTGACAGTAGGAATGATTAATCAATGAAACAGCTTGCCTCCCGGAGGTGTGTCTGCTCTCATGCTGGAGGTTTTCAACAAAAGATTGGACAACCATTTCTCCTGGATGGTATAAGCAGATTCAAATAATTTAACAATTGGTTCGCCTGGAGTCAGGTTGGCTGTCGTGAGACGTATGGCCCATCGCCATCCTACAGGTCCACCGCACATGCGGGATGAGCCTCCCATGACAGCCAATTTAACCCTGGACGAATGGTTGTTACACACACACACACACACACTATCAAAGTAGATCCTGGGTGCTGTTCTGCAATGGAGAAACAGGCAATGGAGCGGCTGGCACAAGGGAAGGAGGAGGGGCAGGGAGAAGAAAGAGGAAAAGAGGTTTCTCCTTCCCTCATGCTGGCCGCTCCATTGCCTGTTTTATTGTCTCACTGCCAGACAATAAATAAAATACCTAACATAGTGAAGACAGAGAATAGTTATAGAACAGTGCTAAAAATGTGTCTATCCTAAAAATAATCCTTGAATTAGAAGTTTCTTTTCGATTCAATTTTTCTACATTTAAAAAAATGTTTTTTCCAAAAAAATATTAATGAGTTATAAAAAATACCATGAAAAATACATAAGGATTATATGATGTTTAAAATCCTATTTACAATGTAGTGATTAAAATAAGCTAGCCATTCAAAGAGAAAAAAAATAATACATAATATTATATTTATATGTAACATTACACAAACAATTCATGTCATATCAATTTGTTAAGGATAAGGGATTAATTCAATCCTGAAACTTATAATTAAACGTAGACTATTCAGAAACATAAGGCTACATTTTTTTCATTTTTCGAATAGAAAGTTTTTTCAGAAAGGCTTTAGAACATCTTAAATCTACTCTTTAATATCAGGAAGATATATTTATTTTCACTTATTAGGATTATCCTTTGCTGAGCCACAGACTTGATACGGGGGTGGGGGGATGGGGGAGGAAGAGCAAATTTCACATTTTGGGAATATAATATAATATTGCAATTATGTTGTCCATTATTACAGTTCTTTCCAAATTTCCTTAAATCCAAAATGGAGCTACAGCTGGACAGGACCAAATCACAGGAGTTAAAAAAAAAAACTTAAGACCAAAAAGTTCATATGCAGTCTTTTGAAAACATTAAACACAGATAAGCATTATCCATTTTTTAAATCACAAGAAACCTTAAGACTTGGATCCATTGATTTTCCAAGACTAGATAATTTCCAAGTTTAAATCTGGGACTGAAGGAAAACCGCCTTAGCTTATCACCTTTCTCCACTTCAGCACACAAATATTGTCTGTTCTCCCTGAGTTGTTTCATAGTTCATAAAAGACAAATACTTTTTCATCTGGACAAAAAAGAGCTGTGTAGAATCTTTACCTGACCCCCATGAACAGCATGGTGTATCTTGGAATATTAAATACAGGGGATATTTGATATTGACCTGGTGTGGAAAAAACAATCTTACAACTGCTCTTCCAATGAATGGGTGAAAAAAATACTTTTATGCCTGAATTTGGAAACCTCCTTATTCTGAATCCTGAAACAGAAGACTTAAGCCTCAAATCTTATATTTACCATCTTGGGAGTTAGCCCCATGAGTTCAGTGGGACTTTCTTTTGAAAGAACCACGCACAAAATAATACTGTGACTGCATTTAAATCATCAATCAAACTGTCAATACAGGCTCATCAATAAATACTTTCAAACACCCCTGAAAACAGTGAATTATTCATTCCTGATTGTTTCACATGAAAGAAATGCTTATATCACTGTGAGATGAGACATCTTAATTGCCTTTACCTTAGTGATGGATTCGTGCAGGCGGAAGGAGGAATCCAGCTTTGTGGGTATTGTCAAAGACACAGGGAAAATGGCTTCAGAAAGAAAGCTTGCTGTCTGTGTAAGAGGGAGAGAAACCTTTAAGACTTTGTATTGATTTCCTTCCTTAGAAGCTTTATTGGCTTTTGTCTACAGTTTAAAGGATTTCAAATTCTTTTAAAGATTGTGTTGATGATTAGACTTTATTTCAGTGAACTAGTTTACTCATTTCTACACACTGTTTCAGAAACAATGAACTATATTTTTCTTTTCAAAACAAGTAAACAAACAGCATACTGTTGTAATGGCATCCATTTTCATGTGTGCATGTCACTCGTTAAACACATTTATTATATTTTTTCATCTCAAGGAGAAAGCAACCTGTAGTAATAAACCTAATTTTTGAAAGGCAGAGATTACATATGTTCAAACAGAGCTGCAAAATCCAGAAGGATATGTGTGGCACACACACACAGAGAGAGAGAGAGAGAGAGGGAGAGAGAGAGAGAGAGAGAGAGAGAGAGAGAGAGAGATCAGTATTTAGCATTGAACTTTTGACTTAAGCATTGGGATTATTGGCTACTTATTTATATACTTATGTATATTATTTGTAGACTACACCAATTAAGACAGACTCTGAGTGAAAAAGAAAGCTAAAAAAAGATTGTTCTTGTGAAAAAAAATTAAAGTAACAATAGAATAAAGACTACAATTAGTAATGTAACAACACAGAGATTTCCCACAATTAATCAAGCACAATAGGATAAAGTGGTCATGAGAGATCTGCAAAGTATGAGAGGAAAGGATGAAACATATTTCTGGTAGATAATATAATCCAGGACACAGCATACTATAGATACTCAGTTCATCTTAAGTGAACACATTATGCAATTCATGTTCCTCAGGTTGCACAGTATGCCTTCTCTGTAGCAGCTCTGTGCTCAAAGAAAGTCCTCCTCCTCCTCTTTTTGCTTCTTCTGCTACTCCTTTACCTCCTCCTCCTCCCTCCTCCCTTCATCAATATAGTTTTTATTCATGTAAGCACACTGAAACAAAAAGATAAACATAACAGGGAAAACGTGACATTTTGATTGCAACTGGTAGTTGCACACAGCTACAGAAAATAATGCAGCAGCGAGGGGCAAAATTTTTGCAGAAGGAGCTTAGCATGGATCAAATTAATATTAGATTCAGCCAGAAAGAAGAACATCGAAACCAATATATATTTGTTGGCTTTTAGCAGACATAAAGGCATGCTGAATAAAACTAATGGAGATTAATTCAGCCCAATAAATTATTATCCATTTACACAGCCAACTTAATACATATATCAATACATATAAAGATCTTGCAACAGCTAGCTTAAATTACTGAGACTTCATTGTTTTCTCTCATTAAAATTTTACATTTGCACGCATTTCTTTGATTTTATACAAGTAAACTTTAAGATTAAGACCTTCTCCAGACATAATATATACATATTTTAGTTATCCAGCATGTCTGTTTATATGATCCTGTTGAAATGTTCAACATTTTGAATTTAATTAAATTTCCTTTTGATGGGTTACATTTTCTGCCCTTCTTTTCCACATTAGGGATAGTTGCATGCATGTTTATCACAGCTGTGAAACCTCATTTCTTTTCAAACTAAAAAATAGATATTAAACTCCTAACTTCTTCATCATAAAACAATGTTCTGGGGGGCCACCTTCTGAAGCTTTGTTAGCCTGGCAGTATCTTTAAAAGATAAAGGAAAACAGTGACTGGATTTATACTGATCAAAATTTTTTACTACCGGTTCTGTGGGTGTGGCTTGGTGGGCATGGTATGGTTTGGTGGGTGTGGTGTGGCTTGGTGGACTAGACAGGGAAGGATATTGCAAAACCCCCATTCCCTCCCCATCCCACTAACCTGCTTTCCAGCTCCATTCTCCTGTGGAGGGCAACAAAAGAAGACCCAGCCGATCAGCTGGGACTCGGGAGGCAGAGAATAGATGTGGGTGGGGCCAGTCAGAGGTGGCATTTGCCGGTTCTCCAAACTACTCAAAAGTTCCACTACCAGTTCTTCAGAATCTGTCAGAACTGGCTGAATACCACCTCTGTGATGGAGGCGTACAATATTATAACATTAGCAGTTTTGCTGGAGTCATTTCCTAATAATCTCAGTGTGGAATGTGACCTTTTTAATTGCAGCTTATGTAGCAGATCAATGCTTTTTTTATTGCTGTAATGCTCAAAGCCCACTCTCTCTTGATGTGTTTTTGTTGTGTGTGTATATATATATATATATAAATATTCAACAAAATTCTCCACTTTAATGTCCATATATACTATGTGAAACCAGTACATTTTCATACTGCAATCAGAAGTAGGATTAATAGTAGTCGAATTGGATTATGGTATTACAGATTAACAGAGTTGGAAGGGTTCTTGTTGGTCATCTAGTCCAACCCGCCCACCCAAGCAGGAGACCCTACACCATTTCTGACAAATGGCAGCCCAATATCTTCTTGAAAGCCTCCAGTGATGAAGCTCCCACAACTTCCAAAAGCAAGCTGTTCCATTGATTGATTGTTCTCACCATCAGAAAAAAAAGTCCTTATTTCTAGGTCAAATCTCTTCTTGATCAATTTCCATCCATCATTCCATACCTGGTCTTCAAGTGCCTTGAAAAATAGCTTGACCTCCTTCCTCAGATATTGGAACACTGCTATCATGTCTCCTCTGATCCTTCTCTTTACTAGACTAGTCATACCCAGTTCCTATAACCATTCATTGTATGTTTTAGTCTCCAGTCCCCTAATCATCCTGGTTGCTCTTCTGTGCACTTTTTCTACAGTGTTACTTTATTTATTTATTTAAAACATTTACACTTCCATCCATCTTCCAACCTACTCTGGGCGGCTCCCAATCAAAAGTTAAAACAACACATAAAATCACATTAAAACTATAAAAGTAAACAAATTAAACCATGAAAAACAACAGCGAACTGGCACCAAGTCAAACTTCTAATGCACAATTATCCAATCTACTTCCACTGCTTAGGGGAATATATTTTGCTGGACGGGCTGCTTATTGTTCTTCCCAAAGTAAGAACATTGTCCCTATGTAATAAGTGCCTGTATTGGAGGAACACATTTCTAAAAGTCTCCTGTCAAAAGTTAGCTGTCAGATGCTAAACTCCTTATATTCACATTTACTTGAGACCTGAATTTAGGGGATGATTAATGTCAAAATGATGATTAATTCATTCTTTACTTGCCAGAAAGCTCTTTACTTTGCTGTGAAGTGTAGAAATGAAAGCTTTGGGGTTTAAAAGTAATATTAATGCTGCTTGAAAATTTAACAGGATTGATTTGTCATGCCTGGCATCTCATAATGTGCCTGCTTGCTTCTGAGAACTTGGACTCTACCCTGGGGCTTTGATTTCTTTATGTTTTGCTAGCTGAAAGAGACGGAAAAGTAAAAAAAAAAAAACCCTTCTTCTTGAGACATCGCATCTCTTCTTTATAAAGAGCCTAGCTTGACTAAACATGTTTAGACAATTGTGACATTTCAAGATAAATATACATTTGGTACAGGTCTGTGCAGGTTTTCAGCCTCACCAAGCGTCATGTATAATGCAAGCTACTACCCACCAAATTGGGTGGTTTAACATTAGTTAAACCCGTGTTCTCAAAACTGAGTCAATTCCTAAGCCCTTTCTTGATGTTTCCCTCCATTATTTTGGTCTTCTCTATTGTTCACATCACTGGACAGTTTGAAAAAGGCTGCTTATCTGATAGGATGAATCATTCAAAGTTCTTGGGTATCTTTTTGACTAAGACTAAATGACACGGCTTTAAAGATCTGCATATTTCAAACTTCTTTTGCTTTACTTCTTAGAGTGATAGAGCGATAAATTGGAATATCAAATGGATTACTTAGACTGAGGTTCAAATATAACATGTTATTAATAGGTGCTTTTGTGAAACATGCTAAACTAGTTTTATATTAACTTTGGTTAGATTTCTATGTGGTCTATGGTAGTGATTCTCAACCTGTGGCCTGGGGAGCCCTGAGGAGCCCTGGGGAGCTACAATTTCATCACAAGGGGTCCACAAAGGTTTGAAGAAATGTTATGGTTTAAACCTTGAGTTAAGTCTTGGTGGTCTGTGGTCATGGCACAACAGGAATCTACAGTGAAGAAAAGATTGAGAACCACTGGTCTATGGTGTTCTAATATTGCAAATTTTTTATTTATGTTTTGACAGATTCTGAACACCAGAAAATGGGTTAACTCAGTAACTAAGTTGAAACTACAAGTTTTTCAAGAAACTCAATGACTTCCCTCTTAAGAAACACTCTGGAAAAGGAATTAAATGTCTTTGACTGTCATGGTGAGAAAAGTTTGGAAGCTATGTGAAGATTTTTTCCCCTCCCCTACTTCTCCTTTATACAGTAAACAAAAGGAAAAAGGATGGCTCAGAATAAGCTCTAAACTTTTAGATGGTTTTTAGTATGAAAGAAAAATCAAAACATGTCACTAAACTCTTCAAAGTAACAATGGACTTCCACATTGTCATCATAGACAGGTACATGGTAATTTTAGCAAACTCTTGAAAAATTAAAAAACAAAAGAACACTTCTTGCACTTTCTGCACCCATCCTGACACTTCCACTGTGTTTTTTTAAAAGAGAAGATAAGAAATTTACCAAAACAAAAAACACCCCCCACCCCTGAGATTGCACAACATGGCCTTCTTATGCATTAAGCAAAGCAATAACAACATTTCTGATGTTCACTATGTTTTGAGGAATATGGGTACATTATATACGTACATTATCTAAACTTACTCTTATAGCTTGTTTGTCCTGCTAACATTTTCTCTTCGGTGAAAATTCACACTATACATAACATTATCATGACCAGCTTGTAGGAACCTGTCCATTTGGGGGTTTAATTAGGTGCCCAAAGTCTCCCCTTAAATTTCAAAGACCTCATTTGAATTCACAATGGGAGAGAGTGATCAGGATAGCAAAGTAGCGAATAAAGTTTTTGAAAGAGCTCTCCACTGTATTTGTTTTGAGGGAAACAGT